TTTTATTAATTCCATTTACCTCCTATAAAGTTTGGCTAAAATATGGATTAACCCCTAAAATTTGGTTTTTCTTTCAAGAAAAATTGTGTCAATTAAAATAGGATGTTTCTATCCTGAGAACCTACAATAATAGGTCAAGTTTGCTTTTTTTTATAGTTGATTTACAGGTTAAATTAGTTAAAATGATTCTAATAGTCTGTTTTAGGAAGTTGAGTGACTTTTTTTGCCACAAAAAAAAATTTTTTGATGACCAAAACGTGCTATTTTGAATAATTTAGTGACCATTTTGGTTATTTACTCTTACATAAAAGAGTAAAACAAATAAAGGTTATTATCACTTTACCTTCTTAATATTCAATGTAACTATCAATTTTCCCCTTAATGTTACATTTTAGTCATTGTACCCCCAAAACTAATGGTCAAACTTAGCGGAATTTGTTAATTAAAGTGAAAAGACATGTTTAGTCTTTAAAATTGTTATCACTTTACCCCCATGAACTATAGTTTCATTATCAATTTATCTCTTATAGTTGTTTTTTAGGCAATTTATCCCGCCGTTAAATTAACTTAACAAGTTAAGAAACTTTAGAAGAAAGTACCCTCCTCTTTATATAATAAAAATAATAAAAAATTTAGAATGACTTTTCTTCTTTTTAGTATCAAGAAAAAAAAGTCAAAGTATTAATCTCTTTCTTCTTGACAATCTTATTAATATTGAAAAAAATAGAAAGATAGGAAGGAGGAGGCGAGTGGGGGAGCGAGCTCAATTCTTTTTTAAAAAAAATAAGAAAGAATTAAATATTTTTATTATTTTAAAATTATTTTATTTTTCTGTTTACCATTCAATTTCAATCCTAATTTTGACAACCTTAAACTAATACGATAATATTAGACTCTTCTTTATTTTTTTCTTTGCAAAATCTAATTTTCTATCTCATTCTTTCCTATCCCTTTTTCTTTTCCTAGTATTAATAAATATGAAAAAAGAAATTTGAGAAAATTCTTTTATTTTTATGTTTTTGGATCTCTTAAAGTGAAAAAAAAGAAGAATAACCATGCCAACTTTTTATTTTTAATTATATGTATAAAGGGTAAATACATATAAAAAATTTTAACCATACTAGTTAGATTAATGATGAGATAAAATGCCTAGAAAATAATGTTTGGGATTAAATCAATCGTATCACTATAATTTATAGGGATAAAGTGATAATAACAATGTAGTAATGCTATAGAATAAAAGGATATTTTTATCCAAAATCTCTTAACATATTGAATTGAATTACTTATGAGAGTGAAGTGACTAAAAGATAACGTTAGAAAGTAAACTAATAATAGTGATATAATTTAAGGGAGTAAAGTGACAATAACCTAACAAATAATCTGGAAGAAAGTTTTGAATCTTGTAATACATATTGTTTAAACAAGAACCCAAGGCACCTAAAACATTAGAAATTGAAATAAGAAATTCCTTACAACATGTAGATAAACAAATTAGTCAGGTTTATGGGCAAGTTTAGAAATTAGAAAATTTGGAATGAAATTAGAAAAATTAAAAGATTACATATGGTGAATGAATAACCTAGAATACGTAGAAGCACAAAAAGAAGCAAAAAAAATATCACGAAGATCCGAAAGCACTTAATAAGTATCAAGGAATAAGCAAGAGAGATCAAATACAAACTAGATAATCCAACATATAAATTTTATTAGTATTAAAAATTTGTGAAAAATTAAATAATCTAGAAACAAAAATATATTAAAAAAAAGTTAAGACAAAAAAACTAAAGTTGAAGAAGTTATAAATAGTTTAATAAACCAATTTAAGAATAATATTAGCTTAGGAGATAAGGACAAAGAAGATAACTAGAAATTCAAAAGACTAATTACTAATCAATATTATAATTATGAAACATTCTAGACTTAGTTTTCTCAAAGTAAATTTAGTATAAACCTGATAACTAGGATAATGAGTAGCAGAGAAAATAAAAATGAAGTAGTCAGGGTAGACAATTAATAAATGTAGAAAACTAATTAGAAAATTTTAGGCATAACAAAATAGAACTAATTAAATATTTTAGGCATATCAAAAACAATATTTTGAGTAAATTCACATTTTATCAACATTATAGTGATAGATTCGTTTCTTGTACCCATGAGTATCAAATGGTTAAATTAGATGTGACAGGCAAATAATAATTTAGAAATATGGATAGTGTCATGTTACTCATGTGGGAATGATTGTAGTAGGCATTGAAGGTCTATATAGAGAAGGTATTGGTTACTTTATATGGCAATCATTTTACAGATATATAGCAAGTTTTGCTAGGAGCCATATAATTAGATATATATAATAAAGGTCGATTAGTATATTTTTGTATCACTTTACCATCCCGAACTTAAAAAATGTATATTTTTGTCCCACTCAGTGAATTATTGTACTTTTAATTTTGATAAATTCATGTGCATATTTTTCTTTCCAAATTACTCCAATCTTCCTGTTTTCTCAATACTCAACTTTTAGCTAGTTGGATTTTCTTAATATATATTCGCCAAAATATTTTGCTATTATATGATACGTTGTTGGGTATTAGTTTAATTAACTTATTGTATAGACTTATGTATAATTTAGTATTAGTTTGAATAAGACTCCACTCGCTCCCTATGTAATGTCCTACAGCGACCAAAAAAATATAAGCATTCCTTTATAACATCTAGTCGGTCAGGTTACTAATAACTTTGGATTAACCATTTTGAACAAGTGGTTTTAGCTCAAAAGATTAGTGGGCCAATCTAACAGGCACAGGACGTTACAAATGATATCAGAATAAATCTCGCATGGAAATAAGATATTTTTTTCATAAATTTTATATCATTTTTTCTTTTTCCTTGCACATGATAATGCAACAAAGTTCTTATTTTTTTCTACATTTACTGTCATATCTTCTCAAAATCAATCTTATGACACCAAATGTTTAAGCATAATTAAAAGAACTAGAATCGTAATCCAAAAAAATCAAACCTAATTGAAATAAAATCGAAATCGAAATCGAAATCGGACTGGAATAAGAGGTTTAACAATTGTAATTGTAACCATCCTTATAAGAGTTGGTTCAGGTTCTATCTTTTAGAATTCGATTCTAAAATAGCGGTCATGTCTATCTCCTTCTACCAATCTCCATTTGCCACATCACCAGGAGGCCAATCCCCTTTTTCCACATGGGCGGGCGACCAAGGTGAGATGGAAGGGATCTTTACTCTTATAATATATGGTTAATAAGCAAAAGTTTACACAATTCAGGAGGCGGTTGGTAATGTTTGAATTTTATAATAAATTCATTCCATCTAGTTTTTATGATCCACAATGGAGTGTAATGATGCGTGTAATACCTGCCATGACATAGGTCCATTACACAGACACCCATTGTGGCCGTGTAATGCTCATTACACTCATCATCAGAATGATGCGTGTAATGGGTGGGCCAGGTGTGAAATCCGGCCATGGATTCGAAACCCAATTATGAAATACGGCCATGGATTCGAAAAGGTAAAAAATTCAATGAAAGTTAATAATTTATTTTTTAAAAATAACAAAATTATTTTTAAAAAATTACTTTATTTATTTATGCAATATGAGTTATGCATTATTAAAATAAATATTTAATTTAATTATGGATCCATGCTATTACACTTTGTAAAATGTAATCCATTATGAATGAGAGTATAATAAAATAGGAGAAAGTGGAATGCTGACGTAACATGTACATTACCTTCAAAAAGTGTAAACCATCGTGGATGATGATTTCTACTCGTAATGGCACAAAAATCAAAATAGAAAAGGCCTTCCTACAGGTCAACCTTTAGCACTTTAGGCTTATTGTATATTTTCTCAGCCAAAAATCTGCCACGTTTCTTTTTCTTTTTCTTCTTTTTCGTCATAAAGTTTTGCCTCATTATTAAGGAAGATCCCATTAGAAATTTGGCACCATTTAGGAGCCAGTGTGTAAAAAGGCACAGTTTTCTAGCATCCATGTACCAACTGCATATCTTTAGACGCTTATCTCGTCACTTCATTGCTTTTATAACACTGGAAGAATATGCATATTCCAAAACAAAAGGCTCAGCATGTCTCAAGTTTCTCAATAACTATAAAAATTTGATTATGGCTTTTAGATTAAAGCCACAATTTCGTTTCTTTACGCTAAAAGATGTTAGCCAATTGCATGACTTCCCTTCAAAGCTTCAAGAGGAAATACTTGTACTTTTCAAAAATTTTTCCTTTTTTTTTTATTGCTTTTGGCACTTCCGAAAAAGTTTCAATTGTTTCCACCACCGACTTCCTTTCAATTCAATTCCGACAATAGTAGTCGTTGCATGGACAATAAAATGCATATGGTTGCTGCTACTTTTTTTTTTGGCATTAAACTTTCAACCACTGACTATTTTCCTTAGTCTCTAATCTTTTGCTAACATAAAATTTCATACTAAAATAACCAGTGGGACAACGAAAGGTCAATTTGTGCTATGAAATTATCTTCTCCCTCTTTAAATACATATTAATAAGTTTAACATTCAAGAGATCAATGAGATCTAAAATGTTAGGAGAGTTTGCATACCTTAATCATGAAATCTAGGGTACAAAATCCATAGGAATGAAAAGAACAATGTTGGAAGAGTTTCTCCCCCATAAAGGGCTTGACTTTGTTCGAATATAATTAGTCGCAAACCGTAAAACGGATGTGAATATCTGTGATTTATACAAAAAAAAAAAAAAAGTGTGGTTTAAAATGTGCTAAATACATTAAAAGAATTAAAATTGGGAAGTCAAATGAAAATTTAAAAATTCCAGAGGTGCTTAATCATATTGTAGAATCCTCAAAAACTTTAGAAAAGTTCTGAAATGATCCCAAAAGGAAAACCGATTCGGGGTTTATGCTGTTGCTTTCATCCTTCGAACACCTTAAAATACGTTTTGACCAAGACCACGAGAAGGGTTTATATCACTTACCTGGACGGGGTTGATGGACGATCAAGAAGGCTCATGGCTTAGGTTGGTGACCTCCATTGCGCTTGGGAGGGGTGCCTGCCTATGGTCTCCCCAAGTGGGAGAGCCAAAATCATAATTTGTGGCTGTGGGAAAAAAAAAAGGGTTTATATCACACATATATAGGCTTGCAGCTTAGATTGAGAGAAATGGATAAAATGATCCCAGCAGATATCATCTCACGAAAAAAAAAATTCCTTCAAAATGATTTGCGAGGTTGCACATTTGGTAATCCTACTACCTTTACCCTAACACAATAATGTAACCTTGTTTGAAAGCGAAGGCAAGAATTAGTTTGCAGTCTATTCTTTTTCCCTTTCTAAGACTTTTCAAATAAATGGGTTTCAAGAGATTGAGGACACAAATTTAGAAAAAATTATTGATAATTGACTGCATTGACACAATTGAAAATTTTTGAAAGTGAACTGACATTGAAATTAGCCAAAGTTTGCAGTCTATTCTTTTTCCATTTCTAAAAATTTTGAAATAAATGGGTTTCAAGAGACTGAGGACATAAATTTAGAAAAAAAAAATTATTGATAATTGACTGCATTGACACAACTGCCAATTTTGGAAGTGATATGCACAACGAAATGTACTAAAACCCTAATGTATGCCAGAATAATGAGAATAAACAACGGGTCTATTCATTAAGATGTATTTCACATATTAGATTTTTAAAAAGTGTAAGATTTATTAGGTAAAATAAATAAATACAAGAGAAAGTAATAATTATTAGTATATATATATATATATATATATAATAAATTGGATGGAATTTAGTGTGTTAACAGGTGTCCATTAGGCGTCCGTTAGAGAAATCCATAGTCAAAAAACCCTATGTTAAGTGCAACATTGGTCGTTGCAATTAAGAAATCAAATAAATAACGCGAACCTGAATTTGACTATCTCATGCTAATTTTAAAGAGGAAAGGTTGGTAATGTGTGGATAAATGTTCATTACAATAATGAACTAATCATGCCTAACTTAACGGCTAACAGCAACATGCCAAATAAATACTCCTTTATGGTTAGGCCCTAATAATTGAACCAATTATATATTGCAGTTGAATTTGACAAGCCAGTCCTATCTTCCTCTGAAAATCACCTAACCAAAAGTAAATTTGAACTTGCTCATTGGTCGTCAAATTTTGGTCAAAATTTTGGACTTTTGTCTTCAAGCTTAGCATTAACATCAATGAATTCCCTCAAAAAATCCCTCTTGACGACTGGAATGAGAAAGTAACCTACAAGACATTTATTTCTTCGTGTTTGGTCTCAATGAATTTTGGAATTTTGTATCAGAATATTTGGTATCTGGGGTTATCAACTTATGTTCTTTAAAGACAGTCAAGTACAGCAAACTATATACATTGAAAAGGTATATATCATGACAGATTTAAAAAATATATACAATTACAGCACATAAGTAGCCAAATGTGTTGAAGTAGAAAATTAAGTAAGCTAATCCAAACCTAACTTAATGGGAGAAGGAAAAATGCAAATTTTTGCAAAATGTTATCTCTTTTTGCGTCAAAGATTTGTTCTGTAAAAGATGATACATATGCACAAACATGCATTGTTCGTCAATTTTCTTGGTAATCCACAATTCAGGTGCAACTAGTGTAATTTTCTGAAGTTTGGATTGCAATTTTCTGGAGTTTTTGTAGAAAATGTACTGTAACGATTTGATATTTGTGAAATAAAAAAATGATTGGGAAACGCGTTCACAGAAAATATAAAGATTTTTTTGATAGAAAATCCCTTTCCAAACAAGCATTCGCTTGAGCTTTGCAGTGAATAAGTACCAAAAACATGACCATTGTTATTTGCAACCTAAAACTTTTATATTTTTGAAAAAAAAAATTCTTTTACATTTTGCCCCTCTAGTATCTAATACCTAGACCATGTTATTAGAGGGAAGGACAACTTTAAGGTATGTGGAATTTCCTCTCATTTTTTCTTAATATTTGCAGCAAGTCTTGTTTATGAGCTGAGTACAATAGTATCAGCATCTTCAACAATGCAAAAAAGGGAAGCTGAATACAATGGTTGATTTGGTTTTTATGTTTTTTCTAATCTAATCTTGCTTATAAGCAGAATAGAATTGTTGACTCTAGTGGTGCTAATCTCGTCACTACACTATAAAGAAAGTGTTCAAAGTAACTGTTGTCCTGTATTTTGTAGTTACTCAATAATTGCTTCATTCATTATGGAATAATTCCACTTTGTATTGGTAAATTTCATATCTATTACCAGATTGTACCATCAACTTCAATTTTAGATATTTTCTGTCCTGAACTTTCTAATTTGTCCCAGTTAGTTTGAATAGTAAAAGGTGTTTACAGAAGTAGATGGAAACAAGACGCGGGCATCATGTTCTCTTTAATTTGTTTCGCTTTTCATTCTTAAACTTTTGGTTGATTCCAACATTGGCCCTCAAACTTCAGGTTTGGAACTTTTTGCACTTTAAATTGCTTTAACCTTCTCATTCTTGTTGAACTGCTTTATTGACGAAAACAATGTCAAATGCTATTCACACATACCTTTTAAATTCTTACACACCCTTTTCACAAGTGCTTTTTGAGGAAAACAATGTCAAAACTTTTACGTTTTTTGTGAATACATTTTTTAATATTTTTTGCCTCACATATATCAAATCATTACAATACATTTTTTTTATATAAAAACTCTAGAAAATAGTAATTCAAATTGGTTCTAAGCAATTTGTGTTATTATTTTTATAGAAGATTTTTTTTTTCAATTTATATTTTCTTGAGATAGCTAGACTGACCAAAAAATGTCAATAAAGGAGATATTCAATTGTAGTTATAGGCCGAAAAAAGAGCAAGGTCTTGAACTCTAAATCTCCTACTTATAATTTCTCCTATCTTATCATTCAATCTAATCCTTACAAAAAAAATAGATATTCAATCCCAGATAGACTAAGCACAAAATTTGTTAGCGGTGCCTTCACCAATTATTCCTCTTATAAAATTTATTCATCCACAAGATTTCTTTATCAATTTCTAGAAGTAAGTCAAGATACTACCATCGATGACAATTTCTCAAATTTGAATCGTTAAAAAAAATTAAATTAATATTTTTATACTGACAGTGCATATATTAACAGATTTGAATGCATTATTATATAAGCAAAATTTAGAATCAAGTTTGAGATAACATAATATGCATTTAGACTTATCAGTGTACATGCTACGGGCCTGTTTGGAAGCCTAGTTTTTTACCAAGTTTTTTAGCTACTAGTTTTTTAACAACTTTTGCTACAGGAATCCAAAAATACTTATCAAATTTTTTAACCTACACACTTCAAAATATCTAATACACAAAAAACTTCCTCTTTTCTTCTTCTTTCTCCCCCACCCTAATCCACCACACCATTATCGCCGGCCATCGCTGCCGCCACCTATTCAGGTGCCGGCATTCCTCTTTTTTGTTTTCCTTCCTTTCTCCCTCTCCCTCTCCCCCTCTTCCTCTCCTTCCCTCCCCTCTCCCCCTCTTCTCCCCCTCCCCTTCCTGGCCACCCTCCCCACCAACGTTGAACAGTCGCCGCCAACCCTCGGCCACCAATGCTCGCTGTCCAACCCTCGCCGCGTGCCACCCACCGCTTCCTCCATTCTCTCTCCCTCGCAACCCACAGCAGCCACGACTGCCGACGCAACTCGCGGCAACTAACTTTCGCCGACAGTCCTGAACCCAATCTAATAACCCATTGTACAAAAAGGGAGATGGAGAAGAGAGGGAGAGGGAGATAGAGAAGATGGGGAGAGAAAAAGTAAAAAAAAAAAATGTGCACGCCATGGCTGCTGGTTCTCTGACTTCGAGAGGGAGAGGGGGAAGGTGAAAAGGGGAGTAGAGGGGAAGAGGGGAGCAGAGGGGAAGAGAAAAAGAAAAAAAAATTTGAACAAGGCTGCTGGTTCGTCGGAGGCAGAGGTAACGGGAGAAGGAAGGGCCAGGGGGAAGGAAGAAGAAAAAGAAGAAGAAGAAGAGGAAAGAAAAGAAAAAGGAAAGAAAGAAAAAAAATGGTAGGACCATGGTTGCTGGTTCGTCGGATGCAGAGGTTAACGGGGGAGGGAAGGGGCAGGGGGAAGGAAGAAGAAAAAGAAGAAGAAGAGGAAAGAAAAGAAAAAGGAAAGGAAAAAAAAAGAAAAAGAAAGGAAAAAAAGTTTTTCATCTTAAAATTTTTTTTCAAAAACTTCTACGGTGCACTACAGTAAAATTTTAAACAAATTTCTAAAAAACTCAGGTTCTAAACGGGGATTTTTTAAAAAAAAAGGTACGAACCAAATACAGTTCACAAAAGAATGGAAGTTAAAAGTACTGCTCTGTTTGAATTGTAAATTATTTGAGATATTTTTGCTGTAGTACTTTTGTGATGTGATGTATGTGAGATAAAAAAATAATTAGAAAAATAAAAAGATGTGTTAAAAATTATAATGATGATATAAGCAAATAAATTTTGACAAATAATCCTCTATCCAAACAAACCCACGTGGATTGACACATTACAGAATTCAACATTTATCCCTTTATGGAGAATTGTACACTTCCAGTGCTAAAAAATACGGTATGTCAAGGACAAGTGTATACACACAGTGGACAGGCCGGAGAGAGAATCTAATGAGTAAATGACGCACAAATTTTCCAACAACACATCAAAAAAATCCAAAATGAGATATGCTATGAATCAGAGGAAGAAGAGTATAGGACCCGCATATGTTGACAAATCCTATGTCTCTTCTAATGTAAGTTATTCTTTTTTCCTTCTCTCTCCTTCTCTCTCTCTCTCTCTCTCCATCATCTTTGTAAAGAGTGGGACCCATCAGATCCAAAAACTCCAAATATTTTCTCACAGTTGTTGAGCCTATAGCTGTGCCCATTAGTACTACATGACAATCAAAATCCCTCTTTTTTCTTAACTTTTCTTACAAGTCTGCCATATCCCATTTTCAGCATTCAAGTGCTCAGAAAAAAGAGGAAAAGCAGAAATAGATAGATAGTATACAAATTTGAGCTTTTTTCTTCTGTAAGCTTTTTCTTGTTTTTTGGGCTGTGATAATAGTTAATGGGCTCTGCTTATTTCTTTGCTTTTGCTGATGGTTGCTCTCATCAGTTGAAAAGTGGGATAGGAGATATGAATTGGGGTTGGATTAATGGGTTGATATTTCAAAAGGGTTCTTGAAAGAAGAGGTTTTTAGGCTGTAATTTAAGGTAAAGTTTCATACTTTCCTGAATGTTGCAAGAAAATGATAATGGGTTTTGATTACTTTGTTGCTTTCTTATCTCGGATGCTCTGCTTTTCATGAATTTCTATGATTTTTCAGTTGTGTATTTGTATGGATATCTGAATTGGTATGCATGAATTTATGAGTATGTGATGTATGAATGCATACCTGTGATTTTGATGAACTGATTTGCAGAAAGATGTTGGCCTTGATATGCCAAATTTGTCCTGTATATACTCTCCACTTCACTTTTTCCATGATTTTGTCTTGAATTTTGGAGTGTCAATGATGCTCTACGGTTACTTTGTAGATGATGGCAATATTAATGAATTTACACATTGGTAGATGAAATCTCTAAGGTTTTTAGGCGCACAATTGCAATTTCAAATTTTTTATGTCAAAAGATCTGCAGTTTCAAATGAAATGATTTTTTTTTTCTCAAAGGGCCGATTTACTAACTTCTTTGATAACCATTACACTTCAAGGGATTTGATTTTTGTTTCCTCACAACTCCTGATCCCTACATATTTTTTTCCTGCTTTTGGTTTAATTCCTGGGATATTAAGTAATTATATTATTACTTTCTGTGAGTTTCAAATGTTCTTTGCATTCTCTCTCCACCCACCGCCATTATTAATCTGATGTGCACTGTGACGGTGCACTATTTATTTGTTTTTTCTTCCCTTGTATATCCTAAAGATCTTGGTTATAGTTGATGTTTGATACTGAAGATTGCCATATGCTTTTGGTATTTGTCTTTGTATGTGAGTTCTAGACTTCAAATGCCTATACCTCTTGTCATCGTTGATTATGGAATTTGTTTGTTGAGACAGGAAAATGATTGAGCTGGTATAGATAATTGAACTTGTTGCACTTTAGTTTGACTTGGCTAACTTCTAATTGAATCTGAAAAATGGACTGAGTTTCATCTCCCTCAGTCAGCGCATTATGTACTCTGGGATCAGTTCAACTAGCTGGCACTACGCAAGGAAAGATGTCAAAAAATAGACAACATAGTCAAATTGGTTAAAATCTTTGTTGTTGCGATGCAAACTTAGTTATTTGAATTGATTTTGAATATCTTGGTTGAGTAAATTTAGATGATTATGTCTCTGTTGCGGTATGCTGAGCTTCATTCCAAGCCTGTGGAATTTCTGTTTACATAAAAATTGACTTTAAATGTATCATAACTTCACTAAATAAGTAAACTCTCTTTCATTTTGTCACCAGCAGCGGTTGAGGCATTATTAGTTCTGATATCTTGATTACGTATCTTCGGTCGAAACTGACTGTTTCCTTCTTGAATTGTCCATAGGAAGTGGAGCAAAGATGCAGTGTACAAGCTATCTTTCTGGGTATTATTATACTAGAGAGCAAAATGTTGATGCTAGTGGGAGCTTATGGCAACAATTCAACAATGGTTTTTTCTGTAGAAGTGGGAGAGACTACAATATTTTGTCTCAGCGACCAATGACTGATCAGTATTTAGCTTACAACAAAGAAATATTAAGGCAGACAATGCTAAAGCAAGAATCATTATTCATGTATCAGGTAAAAGACATTCAAAAATTGATTTTATATGCACTGCATTGGACTATGGTTCTGTAGACACTGTTTTAATTATCATAATTTAGGTTATCGGATCCTGGAACTTGTCTGTGTTCTATTTTCTTTAGTTTTTGATAATGATTTCATTTATTGCTGGCTGAGTTGTTGTGGTTGTTCAAATGAGATTTTATGTCGTTAAAGGTATGCCTTATATAAATGGCATAGGATCTGGAGTTCCTGTACCTTTTTTTATTGGAGTCTTCTGTAACTGTGGCTATTTTATTTGAAAAGTTTGTCTATGGCCTTTGAAATGGGAAAATTTTGTTGGGGGCCTTTGAAACAGAGGAAATAATTACTTGTGTTTCTTTTCCAGGTTCGTGAACTACATCGCTTGTATGGGAGGCAAAGGGAGTTGATGGATGAAATAAAAATGATGGAACTAAGTAAAGATCATCTACGGATGCAAACTTCCTCGTCAAATTCTTTTGTATCTGGAATGCTGTGTGATACTTCTAAGAAGGCTTTACAGCTTCCAGGATGGCTTTTATCAAACCCAAGAGATGATAAGCCGTCTGCACATGGAATGGAAAACTTTCAAAGGCCCTCAATTTTTGTTTCAAGGAAGAGCATCCACGCTGGTTCTGATGTTTATCTAGAAGAAAACCATTTGAAAGAACTTGAAGTCTCATCATGTGGAAGGAACAAATATGGGAAGAGAATGTTAAATCTGGAACTTCCACCTGAGGAATATATGGATAGTGACGGAGGCGAAGAGCTAGAGAAGGAAAAATCTTCTGAAGTCTCTCCAGTTTGGCTTGATCCATCTGTAAGATTTGTAGACTCTTCGCCTAAGAGTAATTTAATAATCAGAAAAGGAGCTTCTTCCAATTTTAATTCAAGTTGCAGCTATACAAGTTGTTTGCTTGATTTGAATGCGCCTCTACCTTCTGATGAACCAGTTACAATTTCCACCAGTTTAGTTGACTCTAACATAAGCAGCACAGGAATCAAGCAACAGGATCCAGATTTATCTGGAAAGCCAAGATCAAAAACCCCTGACTTGATGAGTATTGCTTCTGATGTTCTGGAAGGAAAAGGTTCTTCCCTTAGCGTCTATTTTCGTATTTCTGTTTCCTTTTTTTTTTTGTCTGAAAAGAGTAAATTAATGCTACCCATGTTTATATCTCCATTTTAATGAAACCCCTCTTGTTATCTAAATTTAATAAATTAATTCACATATGGTTTTAACGAACTACCTTATCATTATCTAAATTTGCAGCAAGTATTGAAGCAAATTCTGGGCTTCCAGTTCAATCCGCCGGAAAGTTGCCCCTGCCATGCAATGATAAAACAATTTTGGGTTCAAAATCAGCCAAAAAAGAGCAAGACTTCAATATCAATGAGCTGAGAATGGTAAGCTCATGTGTAACCACTGCATCCCAACTTGTGCAGTTCTCTGATCAAACCAATACAGGAGCATCAGCTTCAAATTCTTCCTGGAAAACATCATACACTGAGGTTCCTATAGCAATTCAAGCACTGCCATGCTTCAGTTCTATACAATTCTCCAGTAAAACTTCCAGATCATCTAGTGGAAGCTCTGTGATTAAGGAGAAGTATTCAAATGGAAATGCAGCACTCTCTTCAAATCTGGGATGCATTACCTCCCATATGAGCTGCAACAGTAATAATCAACCCACTGCTGAATACCTTGCTGGTTTTGTTGAGGACCCAGTTCACCAAACTCCAGTGGATATGGATCTGAATACCATGCCTTGTAACTCAGTACCTGAAATAGAAGATTCTCAGGATAAGGACAGGAGTATGGTTGGAGAAAAAAAGTGTGAAAATTCTGTAGGGCCATTGAATGGACCAAGAGTTAAGCCAGATTCTGAAGGTCAGATAGTTGGATGTCCACAACTGTTAGATCCTTCCATTTCCAGAAGCCAATTTTGTGCATTTACTGCAATTGATTCCAATTCAAATTTATCTGAGGAAAACGACATCCAGAATGGTGAAATGGTTGATCTCCCTGCTATCCATATGTCTTGTGATTCTTCACACGATTCAGAAAAATCTCCAAAAGATGATGAAACTTGTCCAGCTAACGATTGTGGAAAAGAAATGTCCCAGTTGAAAACCTGTATGGACTTGCGGTTCTCCAACACGGATCAAAAGTATTCCCAGGTACTGACTGAAACAACTGCAGTAGGGACAGATTTGCAGGCACCTATCAGTCCAGACAACAAGGAGCATTCTCCACCTAGAGAAGAGTCTGAGGACAATCAAAGCGAGAATCATGAAGGTACAGTCAAGGAACTTGACAGGATTGCAGCAGAGGTTATTCTTTCGATTATGTTTTCTGGCAAAAAACAAAGTCTCAACGCTAGCATGAGTCAACTATTAGAGGTTTCTGCTGACTGCCTAGGTTGGTTTGCTGGGATTGCTTGTACTGTGGCAGGTTCTGCAGAAAATGAATCGGAAGATCATCTGACTGATGCACCTGTTGGCAATTGCAGCGATCTTGCTCCCAAAGTGCTTGAAAAATTGGAAGCCATGACATTCAAGTCCACAGGAATCAAGGTTGAAGATCATTGTCATATGACCATTGACCAGAAAAACAAGTTAATAGGTGATCCTCTACTGACAAGTGAGGGACAATCTAGAAAGGCAAGGGGGTGGAAGGATTTTCAGTCACAAGATCTACCTTGTGCTTCTTCTCTCTGTTCACATGACGCGACTGAGAATCTTCGGCCCATTAAAAAGCTAAGAGCTGCTGCAAGAACAGCTCATGAGAATGTCAAAGTCAGGAAGAAAGTCGGGAGAGTTAGATGTGCTAGAGGGAGGAGGCACTCTAAAAGGTTCCCTCTTAATGCAATCAGCGGAAAGGCGTGCTCGCTCTCAAAACAGAATCCTTGTCAAAGTGAGCAGAGCTTTCTGCAGAGTTGCTCATTTGGATGGGGAAGGAAACATAGACGGCAAAAGCATCGGAGGGCTCGGACTTATTTTGATCCTGGTTTCACTTAACATGGCTTCTCTGTAAATTACATGGATAGAACCTACTTGTCTGGCTGTAGGAAGATTGATAGAATGATAGGAAGCTAATGAACTTAGCTCTGAAGCCTTTTTGAGCAATGAATGTTTTAAAGCTGTGAAGTCGTACCGAGCTGCTTAATGCATGGAAAGACTCTTGGCAATTACTAGAATTGTTGAGATAGGAAAAGGTTGAATCTCCTGCACGATTCTGCTTTGTCTTGTGTCGTTTTTGTTGTAGTAAAGGTCAATTACCGCACTCTTGGCCCTATGTACATATGTTCCATATGTACATGTGTACAGAAGCTGATTTTGATTGTACTCCTGGGCAAGGCAGTAAGTGAAAACCTCTTTTGTCCTCTACGATAAATGGCAAATGTATCCATGAAAATCTTTGTTTGGATGGATCTGGGATTTAGTATAGATTTTAAATTTTGAGACAAAAGTAAGAAATACTTTTCATCAAATTGTGGGGTTGCAATGAATCGTTTCTCCTTTTACACTTCTGCAAATCGTAGATTAGTTATTTGTTTTGAGGGAGTGTTTGAAGCAAAGGTAACAAATGTTTTTTAATAAATTGGAATTGCTTTAAAGTACTTTTCCACTTTTACCCATGGAGAATTCTAATTTATCTTTGTTCTGATTCAAAAAATTTAAATTATTATGTTTATATTTACGTTTTGCGATGGATATTCGATATTGCTTTGAAGTTCTCAAGTAAATCATTTGTGCTTCTGTTTCTCTGTGTCTTTTTGTTAAACAATCAAGTTCTCATATTAAGGATCAATTAAAGTACTTAGGTTTGGATGACGAATCAAGTTAAAAAAAAGAAAAGAAAAAGAGTACTAAGTTTTAGATTTTACTAGTTGTTATCATAATATTCTAACTATAATTACTATTTAGATTGTAATGGAAGCAAACCAAATAAATGAGATGAGTTTATGATCCAAATGAGTAAAAGAAAAACTTTCAAAGGAAAATAATGGATGAATACCATAATTTTTTTTATAGGTTTCGCAAATAGATAAGAATGATGTTGAACAAAGATTAGCAATTATATTCATGGAAAAATGGTCCATCTATTTTTTTTTCTTCTATGTTTTTTTTTATCTCATATATTAGTTCAAAATTCAGAACGTCATTTAGGTTTCTAATCTTAAATGCTCAACAAAATCTAATTACTTTTTTAAACACTCATATTTTTATATTGATAACATTGTTAATAAAACTGTTCAACCTCTAAGGTTTAGAGGTTGGATAGAGAATTATTCCAAATAATTATTTAGAATAATTACTGTAACACTTTTTGTGATGTGATGTATATGAGATAAAAAGGTGGTTGGGAATATAAAAAGATAAACTGAAAAATGTGTTTATGATACAAGCGAAAAATTTTTTTGAAAAAATTTGCTATCCAAACATTTCTCTCAAGTACTAATTCCCCTTCCCTATCTTCCGCTTCTTAAATCCCATTCCTTTTTTGCTAGAAAAATTATTTTAAAAAAAATTGTTAATGAAACTGGCTAATATATAGACCTTAGGGAAGGCAAGTGCAATTTATTTTTTCCAAAATCAAGTTTTTAAAGGGGGGTATTTATGGACAGAATAGTAAGTTGAAGGACTCAATAGGCAAAATTGAGGTTTGGGAACAAAGTGAAACTACGCAAATAGTTTAGCCACCATTGGAGCCGACAACAGTACGACTACAACTTGTTGGAACTAAACTAACTTAAAATACAATAAGAATCAGCATTATTCTACTAGTTATTTATTTCTTTATGTCTTGTTATAGAGTATACATTACTATATTATAGGAAATAGCAAAGAGCGGAAAGGCCAAAATAAAACAACATAGAAGTAGGCAATCTTTATTTTCTTTTTCCTCAATGTTCAATTTCTAGGCATATTGATGATTGGGTCGTTTAGAATTCAATAAAATGTTATTTGGGTGAGTTTTAAATTTCTCAAATGTTAATGCCTTGATTCTTATATGTTTGAGGGCTGTACGTACTCCAGAATAGTATATGTTACTAAATTTATCGTTTTTAGGATTAATTTCACTTTATCCCCCAAACTTTGGATGATTACCACTTCAGTCCCTAAATTTTAAAATGGGATACTTAAGTCCCTAAATTTATAATACCTCCCACTTAAGGAAAATTGTTAACAAATCTTGAATGTCGTTGGTGCTCGAAGTGTCCCATTTTATAAGGGTTTAGGGATTTAAGTGTTCCATTTTATAAGTTTAGGGAATTAAATGGGAGGTATTTATAAGTTTATGGACTTAAGTGTCCCATTTTAAAGTTTAGGGACTGAAGTGGGTAACCATCTAAAGTTTGGGGGGATAAAGTGGAATTAACCCTCATTTTTAAGATTAAGTTGTTTCGAAGGTTTCAGCTAATGAAACCAAGGAAGATACTTTTATTTTTTTTATTTTTTTTTCCAGCAGGAAAGGGGTGGGATTAATTAAGAAGTTAGGAGGGTGCAGGAAATTTGAATCCAAAATGCCTAATCAAGCTTTTCGCACAAAAATAAAGTGTGAGAATTATGCATATGATCCATTGCCTTTTTTCATCCGTGCTGAAAGAAGAGCAAGATGGAAATGCTCTTTGCATAAGTATAATAAATAATAATTTTTTAAGTAGTCGTCTAGATATTGAATTCTATTGAAACATATTTTACGCTCAACAAGAGAGAGTCACCGGGGCGAGGGATGATCAGGTGGCACGTGTGAAGGTTCGAAACCTCTCATTTACACTGAAAATAAAACAGAGAGTCATTTTTCTAATATTCTTGATAGTGGTTGCTCTTGATACATTTTTATAGTCGACAATAAAACATAAAATGCTGAAATTGAAATTTTGGATAGCTAAATCAATCTTGGTAATTACTAGAATTGTTGAGATAGAAAAAAGAATATATCGTTTACAATCTTGTTTTTGGCTTGTTTCTTTTTCGTTGTAATAAAGGTATATTCACACAATTTTGGCATTTGTGTACACACGGTTCCTATTTGCGTACATAATCTGATTTTCATTGTACTTTCACTTGGCAAGGTTTTAATCTTTGTCGAATGGATGGATTAGGATTGAGTAAAGATTTTTAAATTTTACAAAAATTATTTAGGCAACGTAATAAATATTATTTCATTAAATGGGACGCATTGACTGATATCTCCTTTACGTATATGGATGAAACTTTACATTACTTTTTCATGTTTTATTTTCTTAGGTGAAAACAGTAATCTAGATTACACATCCGTTTTGCCTCGATTATTTTATAATATAAATCTCATAAGAATTTGTAGTGAAAATTAAACATAAGTTATTTGTTTTCTGCAGGTATTTCAAGCAAAATAACAAATGCTTGTTAATAAATAAACTTGTATCATGCCAAAAAATAATAAAAAAAACCTTGGAGTTAAAACACTTCACTTTTACACTTTACTCATGGTGAATTCTATCTTGTTTTTCTAATTAAAAAGGTAAAATATTGTTTTCAAGTGGCTAAAATTAAGGTCTTAGAGCGTAGAAATTTTGAGTTCAAATCCTCCTCCTTTTCAACTTCTTAAATCCTACCCCTCCTTTTAAAAAAAAAAAACTTAAAAAAAGTTAAATCTCATTTTTATTTCTGCTTTGCCTTGTATCTTTAGTATTGTAATCAAAGGTAAGCTCATGGAGTTTTTTGTGTCCTTTACACACGTTTAATCAAGTTTTAGATTAAAGGGGAGGGTTGGGTTGAGTGGTAAAGTGAAAAAGATTGTAAGTAAGAGATCTTAGGGTTCAAAACCTCTCATTTATAAAAAAAAAAAGGCTTAAAAAATAGTTTTAGATTATGCAAGTTCTGATCATTATAGCCTAATTACCACTAGTATAAGCATTTACGCTGTAATACAAGACAAACGAAAATAAATACCAGGAGTATGCAATCCAAAGTTAAGAAGTAAAAAGTTTTTATATCTCCTTGCTGTCAAGTTTAGGGTTCGAACCATTTTTCGTAAGGGTGGAAAGAATGTGGAAATGGGTGGGAGGGTTTAGAAAAAACTGCTAGAACCATTTTTTGTAAGGGTGGAAAGAATGTGGAAAGGGATGGGAGGGTTTAGAAAAAACTAAAAACTTTTCGTAAGGCAAGAATGAATGACAATTATGTATTGATTTTACCATTTTTAGTTTGAACATTAAAACCTACATATAAAAAAGTTTAATTCCATCATATTTTTTTTCTAATCTACTAAATTCAAAATGTCAATTAGGTTTTTTAAACTTAATAAAAATCTACTTACTACTTAATTGACTCATATAATTTTATGGTTAACATTGTTAGTCAAATTGCCCAATATTTAGACCTTAGGGGAAGGAAAATGTAATTTATTTTTGGTTGGGGAGAGAGAGGATTTAAGGATAGATTAGTAACTTGAAGGACTCAATAGGCACATTTAAAGGTTTGGGGATGAAAATAATGTTGGAATGAGTTGTTAGTTGTTTGCTGTTGGGTGTTGATTAGTGTTGGTTGTTGTTGATATCTTTTTGGGTTAAAAACAAAAAAGTCACCTGTAATTATGCAAATATACAAGAAATCTTTCCATGGTTTCAAAACATATAATCCGACACCTCATGATTTGAATTAAATTAAAAACGTGACCAAAATTGTCAAAACTAACATGTTCAAAGCATACACGCTTTGTTTTGCAACTAGTGGTACCTGAAAACCATTTTTTATAATTAATATTTATTTAATATACCTATTCTTCCACTTACAGAAAAGCTCCCTGTGATTAACTCAACCTATAGGAAAGCACTCTGTAGTTCTGAAACATACAAGTTGGATTTAATCCGAAACTTCATAAAATATATTGAAAAGAAAGTAAAACTTTTTGAGAGAAATCAACCACCAGTCTTATGCACACTACTTTTGGGGTATGGTAAAAGTTTTAAAATTGGGTTTTTGCTATTATAATATTATCTTAGAGGATCTTTTTTAAGAAGTTAAAGTAGGAATTTCAATACTCTTTCTTTGTACAAAGTGAAGGAAAATTTTACAAAATAGTTGCTTATATCTTTCTCAAATTTTCGAGTGGATAGTAGAACTAAACCCTATGATACCATTACAAGATTTGTGAGTGTTCAGAAAAAGTAAAAGTAAAAATTGTTGAGATTGAAAAAGCCATCAAAAGAGATGTTGCACTTTATGTATACAATGGATGACTGTGGGTTTTTTTGTGATCATGGTGTTATCCTATATACGGATATTAACCAAACCAGAACAACTGTTTTATGTGTAAAAGGGATGAATATTATATTTTTTGAAACCACATGGAATTTTCTTGTAAGTTGGCTTAATCACAGGGAATTTTTCTGCATTTTATCCTTATATATTAAGCTATTTTTGTCATTTTGTCCACTCACATTAGTTTTGATGATTTCCATCACATTCTCAATTTAATTCAAATCACGAGGTGTCAGATTGTATATTTTAAAATCACGGGAAACTTTCTTATATATTCGCTTAACCATGGGTGGTTTTTTGTTTTTAACCCTTTTTATTATTTAGAATTTAGTTTTTTAGTAGAAAATTTCTTTTGGCTATAAGATTTGTTTACTTAGTCAAGCGGTTTATTTACAAATAGAGAGTCTTATTATTGAATCAATCGAAAAGAGTGAAGGATTGAGAGCATTGTTCTTATGATATTATTAATATTATATTGTTGATTTATTTCTCTTCTCCCATACATACTTGTATGTATCTAAATTGCCTCCCACAATGGTTATATGAAATTTATCTCGTATAAATTTTTGGTGAAATTTTTTATGTTCTGCATATTATATGGTAAGATTTTGCTCCTAATATTTCAGTGTGATATATGTTACTACAGAATCACGGATCAAGAATTGATTTACCTCATCAAGAAACACGCAATAGTACAACCAGGAGACGGACAACTAATTACTAGTAACATTGCAACCAAGATTTGTAGGGAATGTGTTGCAGAGGGCATCTCAGTTGTATCTCATGAAACACAACATTGAGAAAAACACAATTGGTTGCTATGGTGATTTGTGGACTGATGGATGACTAATTACGTATGTCGACTCATTGAATGAAGGCTTGCTACTGAATGGTATATAACTGCAAGAAAATCCAATGTTGCCAGCAAGATTTATAGGAAAAGTGCTGTAGAGGATATTCAATAACAAGTGATGAAGCTGTTGATGCTTTTGAAGTAGTTGAGGTGCCTAACTTGGTTAATATTAACAAATTTGATATAAACACCATTGGTTGCTATAATGATTTGTTGACTGATGATGGACAACAAATTACACAAGATCACTTGTTGAGGTTGGAGCTTGTTAATGAATGGTATGTTGCCAGTTGCCAGAAACATCAGTGACCTCTGGACCATTGTACAATAAACAATGGGCTAGATGCGTAGAGGGCATCGCAAAGTCTGCAGACAGCAAACTATTTCTCACAGAGGCACCATCCATCGACAATCTCTTAAGAATGCAAAGTCTGTAGACAGCAAACACAACCCACAAATACATGCATGCACAAATAGGACGCTTCTTATGTTATCAAAGAAACTAGTCTTCATTGCCTTAGTAATTTGACGCTAACAAATCTGTCAATGGTTCAAAAATATCTCAACAGAGAACACATTTAAATTTAGTTATAAGCAAAGATGACTGCAACAAACTGAATCTCTTTTCTCTATCTCTCTCTCTTTGGAGAGATGGCTTTTGCCACCTGTTATAGGCATTTATAAATCAGACACTAATATTAAACTACAGGGTCAGGATTTCATCTCTTTTTAGTTGCCAGGCTTCGACGTTCAGCTTCTTTCTCAGCAACAATGACGTAAAATTCTGCCCCAAGCATCTCATGTATATTGAGATTATGCGAGATGCTCAAATCAACTAACTCAGTTATCAATTCCACAGTAACCATGAAACCTAGAGTGGATAGTACTCTGACTGCATTCGCTAATCTACATATATGTTGCCTAATCTCTACTGATGTGTGACTTTGTTCTTGTTCACAGGAACTGACTGAACCACTTAAACTGGCATTTTCTTGCTCGGATTTGATCATTTGATCCACTACCATGTCATCTTTGGCTTCAACATGTTCACCAACCCATATGAATCCATTACAGCCAAGTATCAAGTCAACTCCATACTGGTCTAGGTGGTGGAAATGTTGTTTACGCCTCTTCACCAAATAAGGGGAGATTCTGAGTAATTGACCTCTATCAAGCTGTTGCAAAGAACAGAAGGAAACAAAATAACAAACAAACAAAATGAGTAAGCTGAAAGTAATAAAAGTATTAGATTGCTCAGGAAAGTATAGTAGATGCACTGATCTAGATCAAGAGGCTAAAAAAGGATAGGGATTTGAGGCGCAGGTAATAGGAATTGGACATGGAGATAGCAACAGCATTAATAAACCCCAAGCCCAACTCCTTGATACCCGAAACATCTCCTCTTTGGTTTTTTCGATAACCAGCACAAAAACACTTTAATCCTGAAGCCAAAGATCACGAATACACCTTTCTATACTTCTGACTTCTTGCTTGTAGGTACAGACTTCCATCATGCTGGAAACCACGGACTTCAGCCTGAAACAGCACAATCTTTGCTAAATGATCTATGTTAGGCATTTGAAGTATTAAATTCTCGAGATCCAAGTTCCTCAAAATTTATTGATTACTGGATATGATCAACATACAAGATATTAATTTCCAAATGTCAAAAGATTCACATGCAGAAGATAGTTGTGATGAAATTGAAGAAAAGAACGGACATTCAAGTTGATTGCTTTTCTTTGGGAGGGGGGAGGGTGGTTTTTGCAATCCTAGATCACCATAAGACATATCAAAAAGGAAATCCTATAGCCTTATAACAGCAAATTCTGATACCAGGGCAGCAGCAAAAAAGGTGTACAATTGGTGGGCTTACACAAACAATGTCATTCTCTTCAAATATACTGCGCATGTTGAGTTCATCGACTGCAGTTCGGCGCCTCTGGAGAAGAAAATAATGAGATGGAGTAAGGAAAACTTTTGGATGAAATCAAATGGAACTCACACTCAATCCGGTTCAAAAACCATATTCCTTTTATATCTTCACGGACAACAAATGGCAGTTCCCAGGAACAATAATGTGCTCAACCAGTGCCCCCCACCCCCCTCCCCAAAAACCAACCAACCCAAAAACCGAAAAAAAATGGTGGTGAAGTTATTCTTGTAAGATGTGAAGCTCAAGTAATTAACTGTTTCAGCATAGTCTGGAATTGACAGTGTGTATAGACATTATAAAATGAGAGACACTATATAGTAAATGCATTTAAAAAGGAACTTGCAGATACCTGGATGCCATCAGGCAAGTTCATTGAAGAAAGCATCAATACTGCGTCTTGGCTGAAATTGATCTCCAATCTCCAACGCTTAGGAGCCACCTTCAAAGATACACTTGCAGATAAAGAACCACCCACCAAAAGCGGAATAAAGAAAAATGAATTCACTAGCAGTATAAGATATGGATCAGACGCGCCTCATGTTTAACAAACTCTACATGAACATTTTCCCTCAATAATCAGAAAGCAACTAATTGGCTCCCAAAATTTTTCATTAAAAAAAGGCAACAATAATAAGTATCAAATTGGTTCTATATAACGTAAGCAGTATTAATGAATTTAGCAGTGTAATTTCGAATAAAGGCAAGGTTTCAAAGGAATGGGACAGAAATACAGGAGAGAATTCAACAAAGATGTGGTTAACATTCACCTCGATAACACGGCCAACAATAATATCACCTATCTCAGGCTTGTACCTAAAAAATAGGGTAGATAGAATTGAGAGCAATGTATTTTCAAAAATTATCAGCGCTACAAAAGGAACAATTTTTCTACAGTTGGGGGTACCTTGCCCTGAGAGCACGAACATAGACAAGCTTATTCACGCGCTCCACCACTCCGCAGATGGTTGCCACCACCCGGCCATCCATCTCCGACGTCCCATGCCCCCTTCGCCCAATAAATCAAGAGGATTAGAGTTCGCCACCCATGATAGATTCCCATTTGAGATTTTCTCTCAATTGTTATGAAATGACGGAAAAATATAAGACACAATGCCAAAAAAGAGAAAATTTTGTGTGACCAATATTTACTTGAGAACGCCGTCTTCGTAATTGATGGGAATGGTGTCGGCGACTGTGACGGAGGCATTGGAATTGTTGCTGGTGGTGGAGGAAAGGGATTCCAACTTCTCAAGTGCTGTTTCCAGTCTAAGCTTCTGGGTCTTGTTCAATGACAATTGAACTCCTCTCATCTTCCCAACTCCCTTTTACTTTCTTCTTCTTCTTCTTCTTCTTCTTCTTCTTCTTCTTCTTCTTCTTCTTCTTCGTAGGTCTTGCCCCTTCTTCCTCTTCTTCTTCTTCGTAGGTCTTGCGTGTGTGAGAGACAGTAGACAGACAGTAGATTATGATTCAGGACTAAGAATTAGGAAATCCTGCCAAAACCCCAACCACGTCGCTATATATTTATAGACTAGAAATTTTCCGGCTGTGCCCAATGCCCAATTTGTTGTGTAAAAAATATTGAAAAATTCCCTATAACTCTCATTTTTAAAATTAATAGACTATGGAAGATCTTAATTGTCGTTATGTTGAGAAACCATCTCTATGTGCAAACTATTATAGCAGTAGGGTAATTAAAGCAATGTCCATGTCCATGTGCAAAACTAGATAAACTAATTTAACATAGAAGCTGCAAAATAATTGAAGACTGAGGTATGTTAAAAGTCTTTGTCCCCCCAAGTTCGAACAATCCCCTTTCAATGAACCAAGGTATGGAACTCAAAAGTGCTTATCTGTTCAATTTCGATATATACCAACAATGAAATGAATCATAACTACTACTGGATAATTTTTAAGGCAGACAAAAGTCTAGAAAACAAAAAAAAAAAAAAAGAAAACTGGAAACTTACAAAACCAACCGTGTTAAGGAGCCAGAGAGTAGCGTAGCGGTGGGAGGAACGATGCGGCTACGGCAGCGAAGGAAGAGCTGAAGACGGCAACGGAGGGAAAGTAACAGGACGTGGGGCTTGGAGGGAGAGAATGAAAGATAAAAGAAGAAACGTTGGTGACTTTATGCGTTTCACTTTACTGTAATTGCAACACGCACCCTCAAACTACATTTAATACATAATTTACCCTTAATTGTCAATATTTATGCGAACAATGTTATTTTAGTCCCAATGTTTAACCTTTTTTGGTGATTTGATGGCAACATTTTATAACTACCCTTGTGCTATAGAGAAAGGAGGGGTGAGCATTCGGTGCAAATGCGGTAAATCAGTGCGCTGAATTCGGTTTTTTCGGTTATTGCACCTATAGAAATCTAAACCGTTTTCAATTTCGAATTGGGCATTACCGAATTCATGCGGTACCCGGTTTCAAATTCGAAAACGGTAATGAATTCGGTCTAACCGAATTCATCTATTATTTAAAAAAAATAAACCTGAAGCAAATTAAGAGAATATATAAAACCAATCTTTATAGTTCAGCAACTACCAACCCCCGAAAGCCATTAGATGTTTCTCTTTTACACATTGCAGAAAATTCATATCCAGAATCCTAGGTACAACTTCTGGAGCCGTACTTTCACTAGATGTGCACCAAAGATTGAGAATCTCCACGGACAAGGAGGTAAAATTTTCATTTTAACAAGTTTTTTCCTTTTTAATTTTTCTAACGGGTAAAAGGTGGAATTTTTCCCCAAGGCCTTAACTTTTAAAGGCTGCACAACTGGAGAGAGCTTCTTGTGTATAAAATACAAAGTTTATGTTATATCACACCTAATCTAAACTACTACAACAGTTAGAGTTTGCAATTGGAAGCTCAGATTTCGTCCCCTTATCAATTCAGGATAACAAATTTCCTAGTCGATCTTGGCCCATTTTAATGCCAGAGACACAGAGCCAAAAACAGAGGAGCACTTACCTAAGTGAGCCAGAGATGAGCAGTGATGAACCATTAAGAGAATATATAAAACCAATCTTTATAGTTCAGCAACTACCAACCCCCGCAAGCCATTAGATGTTTCTCTTTTACACATTGCAGAAAATTCATATCCGGAATCCTAGGTACAACTTCTGGAGCCGTACTTTCACTAGATGTGCACCAAAGATTGAGAATCTCCACGGACAAGGAGGTAAAATTTTCATTTTAACAAGTTTTTTCCTTTTTAATTTTTCTAACGGGTAAAAGGTGGAATTTTTCCCCAAGGCCTTAACTTTTAAAGGCTGCACAACTGGAGAGAGCTTCTTGTGTATAAAATACAAAGCTTATGTTATATCACACCTAATCTAAACTACTACAACAGTTAGAGTTTGCAATTGGAAGCTCAGATTTCGTCCCCTTATCAATTCAGGATAACAAATTTCCTAGTCGATCTTGGCCCATTTTAATGCCAGAGACACAGAGCCAAAAACAGAGGAGCACTTACCTAAGTGAGCCAGAGATGAGCAGTGATGAACCAGCGATGAACTAGTGAGATCTTGGTGCTTCGTCTTCGACACTCGGCAGCGATGAACCAGCACGGCAGGACACAGCCGACAGGAGGCGTATAGCGCGGCGGACTGGCGGAGGCCGGAGAGGCAGAGAGCACCTTCGATTTGGGAATTGGGACTTGGGACTTGGGAGTGCTAGTGCTGTGGTGACGGCAGTCACGGCACCATGCAATATTGCAATTTTGCAATGGTTGTTTTCTCACTTTTCAATTTTCATCAGCTGAAGATGAAATCCGACTTTTCCCAAATGAAGTGATTTTGTAATTTTTAATTTACAAATTGGGGCTCCTAAATTATAATACATTCATTATGCTCCTCGATGATTTAAAATTATTACTGATTTGATCTCCAAATTTATTCATAATTGAACACATTACTTATGTTCAAATCATTTTGTGGTTTAATTGGCATTTATTTGATCACTTATACCTAAAATCCTTGGTATATGATTTAAAAAACACATAAAAAGTGATTAATTTAAACTAATTTAGTTAGTAGTTACAATGAATTTATAATTTACAATGATTAATAATAAGTAATATTAGTTACAAACTTACAAATTACAATGAATCAATGATTAGTGATAAGTTACATTAGTTACAAACTTATAATTTATTTCAAATCAAAATAAAACTTATTTACTTGATTTGCAACTCACATGTATTCACTTACACTGCTTAGTTATTTTGTTTATACTTAAAGCCTTAAGATTAGTAAATAGATAATATGAACTTTTAACTTATTTGATCACTTATACCTACAATCCTTAGTCTATGATTTAAGGAATACATAAAAAGTGATTAATTTAAACTAGAATAAACCTTAGACTGTACAATGGTTAGTAATAATTTATGAATTTATAATTTACAATGATTAATAATAAGTAATATTAGTCACAAACTTACAAATTACAATGATTAGTGATAAGTTATGTTAGTTACAAACTTATAATTTATTTCAAATCAAAATTAAACTTATTTATTTACATATGTTATTGTGAATGTCAATACACTAATACATTGATTTGCAATTCATATACATTCACTTACACTGCTTAGTTGTCTTATCTATACTTAAAGCCTTAAAATTAGTGAATATGTAATGTAAATTTAGAGTACACTAATACTTGCAAGTTATAGATTACGCATTCAAATATTCAATAATTCAAATATGAATGATGTATCAAATTACCAATATCTAAATTCTAATTACTAATTATGTTTATTGTTTAATATTTAGTATTATACATATATGTATTAATTATTATCTAATTCTAGTCATGTTACTCATGTATAAAATAATAAGTATTATAGTTATCTTACATTGTAATGTATTACTATGCATTATTGTAGTCATATAACAATTAATAAATACTAAAATAATATAAATATATTGTACATTATTATATATTATTAGTATTATAAGTAAATGATATGATGATAATACCATATACTAATTATTATTAATAACATTTACCTATATAATATAATAAAGTATTAGTAGTATATACTAATACTAAATAGCATTTATCTATATATTATATAATTTTATATATTAATTTGGTATTCGAATGCGGTAATGCGGTACCCGATTTCAATTACCGAATTTTGAATTCGAAATTGGTTATTACCAAATTCATAATCTCATTACCTATTTTATACCATATTAGAATTCGGTGAATTCGGTATGCACCGAATTGGAACCGAATTACCAAATATTCGATTTCAAATTACTGAATTGAATTTGAAATCGGTTATGAATTTGGTACGAACCGAAACTGCCCACCCCTAAGAGAAAGGGGATAAACCTAATAGATTATCGTTCCTATACTGTTATTCTTATACTATAGAGGAAGGAGATAAGTTCAACGGAATCATTGAGAACAAAAGAAAACTAAACTACTTCCAATCTAGACAAGTGCACTGTGGCACTCATTGAATTTAAGAAGTTAAAGAATTTCTGGTATTTGATGCTAATAAAGGAATATGATTCTTCAAACAGCATCCCAAGAGGAACTTAAAGTCTCCATTGTTTAATTCTTGATTATTACTCCCTCCGTCCCGTTTTCTTAGTCTTGGTCTTTTTTTCACACAGATTAAGAAAGTGTAATTAATTTGGTTAAAAACATAAATTTAGATTAATAATTTCCTAAAATATCCTTATGCTAATCAATGTAGTCAATGTATTCAATGTATTGGAAAAATTCAATGTATTCAATGTAGTAGGTTAGTATTTAATAACAATGTATTAATAACAAGATATTTAATAAGAGTATTTTAGACAATTTGAAAGATTACTACATTTCTTAATGGGAAAGTGGACTACAATTTGGGACGGACGAAAAAGGAAAACAAGACTAACAAAGTGGGACGGAGGGAGTAGTATCTTATAAGATTATTAAACTGTGTTTCCATTATCTTATAGTATTGCCAAATTGTGCCACATTGTTGAAATAAATAGAGTTTTTCTAGTACCCTTAAATTTATATCCATCTTAGCACTTAATTACCTTGTACAAGTACGCTAGATCATTTAAGAGTGTTGAAGTTTTTGCTACCAAATTTCATTAGTTCCCAACTAATTTAATTGAGTGCTAGAATTGATAGATTGCAGAGAAAAATCTAGTGACAATTCGTCGGTGCATATTACAATTCATCTCAATTTATTTGTTTTGCGGCCTACAAAAAATGGAGAAAGGCTGTGACAACAGTTGGGAGCTCAAAAGCCGGGACCATCATGGCGGGCATTGTGACGCCGATCATCGGCGTCCTTCACATGGTAGAGAAGAATGGTTTGTTGAAGATCATTTTTCCGAGAATTGATTATGCAAACTGTTTCAGTGGGTTGAAGTTACAACTGTTTTTTTTATTGTATGAGGGGATTTCCCGTTGACAAGACAAGCTCCTGTTAATCTGGTGCTAAAGATCAGTCAACTTTAACTTGCAAGTTTAACGATCTATACAGAAAGAGGGGGGGAAAAACGTAATGTACAATTTCCTAATATAACTCTTTGATTAATTAAGAAAAGCAAAATAGACTAAAATTACCGTATTTCTGCACAAAAGGAGATGAAAGAACAAAATGTACAAGCTTATATTAACAAAATAACAAGTCAGGAAGAGACTCAAACTTTCCGCCGTTTGCATCTGGAACAGTTTCATTTGAATAAACTCCATCATGCATGTCAGAATTCTCTACTACCATATACTTCTGTCAGCTGAACCAGGGAAAATATTCATCCTGGAGTTTTGGACCAAAAGGAGGCTTACCCACTTCACCTGCTAGACTTTTCTTCAGAGTTTGGTCACATTTCAAATTTGAGTGCTGATTTTGAGGTCGGAAGCAATCTCTCCAGCTTCAACAGCCGATGCAGACTCTTTCTTGTCCGACCCAAAAAAGGAGCAACTCTGGAATGCATCCAGACTGCACTGCTAGCTATGAGGCGGTTCAAGCCACCAAGACTATCACTTAAAATCAGATCATCACTAGGATATCTACAGGAAGATATGTCCAAATCTAGTGCGCCTAAAGAATCAGGCTGCAAAATTGAAAGATGGAATTAGGTCATAGGTGCAAAAATCCTACAGCAGAAAAATTTCTGTAATATTACATAATTTTAGCAAATTTTCTCGTGTTCTTTCGAAATAAAATAACTAACTAAGTGTACTAGTTTGATATGAAAAAAAGCAAAAAAGACAACCATCTTTCCACTGGATTTATACGAGGCATTTGATTGAAACCAGGAGAAACACGAACTAGGAAAGCAAAGGGTCAAGAATGTACCCAGTAAATGTCAGTAAGCCCATTGAGATCCCTCTGAGAGTCATCAAAAGAATGTTGATCGGAATGACACTTATCCACAATGTCTCCATGCATGGGATCATCAGTCAAGGGTTCCTCAGGATCAGACTGCCAGGCCAACCAAAAATGGATATGTTATATCTGAATTCAAATTGCAAGAATTTGATAGTAAGCAGGAAATAGATATTGCAAGAATATCTGTATGCAATTACCTCCTGTGCTTTACCAGATGCAGCCGAACTTGTACTGGTAATCTCGCTGGATGTCTCTGGAGGAGAAATTCTTGATGCATTTTGAAATTCTTCAGAGAAAACACTGTTCTTCTGAAACACAAAAGCATCACATGTTTCTTCACCATCCCATATAGAGGATGTATTAGTGTGAAGAGGTGGCTGCAAAGCAGATCGGCTTTGATGTTTATATATATGAGCAGCAATTGCAGCATCAAAGGAGTCACAGCTAAATGGAATCTGCCGAAGGCAGTGAGAGTTCCTTAATTCAGTTGAATCAATGCAATTTACTTCTCCATTGTGAGATGCCTCAGTGAGCAGATCCCCAATGCTTATGTTGGTTAGGCTATCAGCCCACTCCCCAGCTGACAAAGCACAGTCTTGTGTGGCCTCAAGTCATCCTAAAAAAGCACAAATAGGAAATTAGATAGA